ATTGGTTAGTTATTGATAAATCATTGAGTGATTCATCAACTAAAATTGCTCTTTTATCAGATTGTTTGATATGTAAATTAAGAGAGCAATATCGGCAATATCATTTTGATTATCATTCATATAAATATTTCAAACGTTCGTTCTTCAGAACTTACAAACGCGTCTTTAAAATAAAACATTCCGCTAACATTCATAATTTATTCTCTTTTTTTTCCCGTTTTTTTCAGGATTCATTCAAATATTTGAATTTTTGGAAAATTTGGAAGAATCCAAAAAGGAGTGAGAATTGATGTTAGGGTTCATTTTAACTGCCATGTTAAAACCACACTAATCGTTCGGTTACTTCAAAACTTTTATCTTTCTCCTCTCCTTATCAATAAAACAGTACTGTCTCATTCCGCATATTTCTCCATCATCACCTGCTTTACCATCATCAAGTGCCTTCATCATCATCATCATCATCATCATCGTCACCAACAGCAACACCTATATATGAACTATCCACCTATATAATAAAATAAGCTGACTCACTGCCATATCAAACTCACTGCCACATCAACCAATACTACCAAAAATTCTTCCTGTCTGCTATTTGCGGCTTCTTTTATTCCCGAAAAAAAAAAAGAAAACTTCATCGTAATCATTCTTTCCTTTTCTATATTTCTTCTTCATCCTGATTCATTTTTTGGAAAAAAAAACAGTCAATTTTTATAATATTCCACCTGTTGACAAGAGCCAGAAGAAAAGTTATTTTCCTGAAGCAACATCAAGTTGAGGAAAAGAAAAAAAGCAAATTGCTTAGATTTGCATTCCTGAAAGCATTCCTGAAAGGAAGCAGAGTTTTTCTTTTTGTAGCCGTTGGATTACGAAGATCCAGCACAACGTAACGGATTCACGTTCGGCATTCGTGTTTATGATGGCCGATACTACGCAACAACTAAATTGTACATCGAGCTCCAAGATAAAAATGATAATCCGCCGGTCATCAACGGACCGCAACATGTGCAGTTACATGAAGATGCATGGTTTGGCAAAGAGGTTGCCAAATTCACGGTTCAGGATGCGGATGCAAATGATACCGCAGTGTGAGTCTATCGATACTAGTACCAGTATTGTAAATAATTCCGTTCCGCTGCGGAACTTTCAGCAAGAATACATTCATTCATCGGCGGATCATTTAAATAATGATCGTCATATTAAAGTTATCTCGAGAAATTTAAAAATCTCACAAAATTCCATACTTTGGTGGCTTCTTCTGATTATTTTATATACATCAGTAGTAGCAGTAGTGAAAGGTCAAGAGTTATCACAACTCTTTCTTGGTTCCTATCCCAGCCAATCACGATTCCTGAATTTTGCCGGTAAAAGTCAGCGTGATATTGTAGTAAGATTGACCAAGAATTTAACAGAAGATACACCTGTAGGCACATTAATTGCAACATTTCGTGCCGAAGATAAGGATTCAATGACACATAATTTAACGTAAGTTTACTTTTTTTTTAAAAAAAAAAAATCTTACTAAATCTATCTGATCAGTTTCATTATAAAAGTTTAAATTTCTTCGCGTATCTTTCCATGTTATTATTCAACCTTTACAGTATATATTAAGAGTAAAACTCTCAACCTTTACTATTTAACAATATTATTTTATTTGACCTTCTGACCTTTTACACATATATTTTTTTACATATATACATACAAACATCTGTTCTTAGGAACAAAAAAAGTTTTAACGCATATAGTTAGTTTTGATATAAGCGTTTCCTAATTTAAACATTTGCCAATTTTTTTTTAAAATTTAAATCGTAAAAGTAATCAAATGTTTGAATTTTTTGAGAAATGTTTGAAAATTTGACCTTGAGTTTAGTCATTGATGATTCATTGATGTGTGTATGTGTGTGTGTGTGTGTGTGTGTGTGT